AATGATATAACTCACTGGTTACCATTTCGAAAATTGAACTGATATTTAATAACGAATGGAGCTTTAAGTGTTACTTAATAAGCTTTTTATATTCACCAGATCATTTGACGTGTTTTGGGGTTATTTAATATTTAATGAAGCTTTATAATTGGCTGTTACCTCTACCATTTTTGTCCATTTAACTGGACTTGTATCAACAGTTTTCCGCTTTAATCTGTGCATGTACTTGACAACTGCACAGTATGTATAGTGTACATGTACATTATATATGCGGCCCCTGTTATCAGGGTTTTGAGTACACAATATTCGATTGACTCCAAATGCGTCATCGTTTGAGTGGCCAGGCGAAATGGAGTTTGTTTTATACATTATGTACTTGTGTTTGGTGTAGAATCGCGCGGGGGACTTCCCCCGAAATTCTTCTTGCCGTTGCCGGCATTGAATTTCCACTCCCACGCGAAACTTTTCCCTTTCCCGGTTTTTCTTTTTGTTTGCAATTTTCTGTGGGCGAAATATTTTGCGACGCATTTTGTGCGCCTCTCCCTGGATAAAAAGCTGCCTTCTCTTTCGCTCATTCTCTTTTTCTCGGCCAGTTGGCAATTATTTTTGGCTTTCTCAAGCGAATAAACGAGAAAACCAAGGCGAGGCTTTGTAGCAGTGTAATAGTATTTTATTTTATTTCTGTATTTGTGCAAATTAGCCAATTTGTCTTAAGCTTTGATGTTACAAAAAAAATCCAAGTATAATTGGTTAAATGAAATTAAGTTAATAGAGAAAATAAAACCGGCTAGAAAAAAAAATCAACCATGTGGACGTTTTTTTTCTCAGCCAACAACAACAACAAGAGAGATGTTCCATGTGGATTGTGTCTGCGAGTAACAGCTGTTATTCGGATTCAGGCCGGCTTTTACTCTCTCTCTCCCTGTCTCTCTTTTTCCCCAGTCCAGCAGCATCCCACTCACACACACTTGCCGACTCTCTCTCGCAACTGCCGCGCTTAATACACAAAATTCGTGTTCTTCCTCTTGTTTTGCTTTTGCTTCACTTTTTTACTCAATTGCAATTGTTGTTGCTTAACACCTTGCACACTCGCACATTATTTATTTGTATTTATTTCACTTGTCCCTGCTTTTCTACTGCGCATGCAAAATGATGTGCAAAAAGAAAGCGAAACTTTTTTATTAGCTTTTGTGTGGGTGTAAGTGTGCATGTATGTATGCTTGGCTTTGCGTGTGTGTGCGCATAAATATTAAAATGCATAATTAATAACCATGTAAATGCATGGGCTTCATAATTAATAGCGGTAAATTGGCGTGCCAAAGGAATACAGTTATGTTTGCAAATTTAATGCTAGCAATTAAGTGCATTCGATTTGGGATTAGAGCAGGAAATTCAATTTGCAGTTATCCATTTTGCTATTATTTTATTAACGAGAGATATCCACCAATGATTAATTTATTAAGTTAAGTTCTTAAGTAGAGAATCTGAATTATTAAAAGTTAAGACCCGTTCTTTGAACAATTTTTTCTCCACCTTTTCACTAATTTCAAATTAACACCGCGAACGTGAGAGGGAGAGAGGGAATGGAAAGGAGAGGCGTCAGCGCTATCAAAAGGCGCATTGCGTGCCTTGAGTCGCTTGGCTGGCTGCCACCCTCTCTCTCCCACTCCACTTCAAGCCCCCCACACCCACCGACAACCCCCAGCGGAATTATTTACTTGGCCCCTACATAATGTGTACGTTTTATTTTCTAGCCTTTCCTTTATCAGTCATACAAATTGTACGGTTCTCAATGAGAACCCAAAGCAAAAACAAACCAAAGAAAAGCTATTCTAGTTTTTATTGTTGCTCCGCTCTGTTGCGCCAATGTTGATTGAAAAGAGAGAAAGACAGAGAGAGAGGGAGGAAAAATAAAAATAATAAAAAAAAGAAAACTTGTTATTTATTTGCCGTGTAGGCCACATTTTCCACGATTTTCTATTCGCCGCTTCGTATTTTCATGTTCATTTCCCTGTTTGCATAATGTTATTTCTCTCTGTTTGCTTCGCCTTGTGCTTCGCCTTCTGCTGTTAGATAAATGTATGCAGAGATGACTGACAAGTGCACTTAGAAGTTGTTATTATACAGATACATTATCTTGAAAATACTCTTTTTGGAGTGTTTGTGGGGGCTATTATTTGAACAATATTTAAAGGTTTTAACGAAATATTTGTGGGACGATTATATTATCCATTTGAAGAAAAAAGATAATATATTTTCAACTTTAAATATAGCCAAAGTTTTCTATCTTTGTCACTGGTTATATGATGGTGGTGCTCCCTTCATAACCCTTGTACAACAATTAAATTTAATGACTCTGGTGTAATACGAAGGTCTCAAAAGCCATCATATTATATTTATTTAGCACTTTGAAGACCTACAAAGTAAAAAGCTTTAAAAATAAGTCTTGGTTTTTTTTACATTTAATTTGTATGATCTCAAGGGCTTGCCAATCCCCTCCCCGTTGGTTTTCTTGCTAATCTTTGTTGTTTGGGTAATTTTATACGTCTCACTGTAATTTTAGATGCAAAATATTTCCAGCTACTTGTTCGCATTTTGCGTGCCGATCAAAAGAAATTTAAATTGGAAATTTCAATCGGCGAGACCTACCTGGTTTTTTCGGTACCCTTTCCTTTCCCCTCGGTCTCCCCCCTTTCTTCATCCGCCTTTTGTCTGGCCCACATGATTTTAACATTTCTTTTCGAGGGAAGAAAGAGAGAGAGAGTATACGATTTCCATGTATAGGAGTTGAATTACCTGAGCTCGTTCGTCTGTAAGCAGATACCGTTTTTTTTAGCTCAAACACACACGCTTGAAGAATCACTGCAAAGCTTTTGGCTAATGTAGAAAATGTTTGCGAAAACAAGGGAATTAAGTTGCCGCCAACGCGACTGAAGTTTAGTAGAGATAGCAAGAAATAGGGATTTAAAACTCTGTAACATTATATAATTTTTTTTTTAATTTATAAACTATTTGAAAATGTATTCAATTTTCTTTATGAAAGGTTGATAACCAAATATCCATATTTTTCATAAGTCCGTTAATGGCTAAGCACAAATATTTTTATATTTACCAACTTCATTTGAAGCTTTTATACAATAAAAAGCTTATTATCACCTTTATTACATAGCAATTGAGCCAATATCCCAAACAGAGATTATCAGTTTCCAGATTTAGTTACCTTCAAGCAGGTGAAATTTGAAAGGGAATTTCAGAGCTCCAAGGCCACTGTGCAATGTCAATTTTAATGGTTTGTCTACCTGGCGCGTTTGCCATTCCAATTTCTTGCAAATTTCAGCAAATTCCATGCGAAATTTTAGCGCTCTCTGGTTCATTTTACTCTAGCGGCATTCATTTGCGCTATCATTCTTTGGTTTTTTCTTGCAACTTGTACAATAATTATCAGCTAGTGGAGTTGTTTGTGTTTGCTATTTCGTTCTTTTTCCTATTTTGCTAAACTCATAACCGTTGGCTGTTTAGTTAACAGTTTCTGTTATGCAAATTAACATTGCATGCAGGGCGAGCAGCGCTAATTGCCATTTTTACCTGCCCGCTGTTGTTGTTTTTATTTTTACGCTCATTTGAGCTTTTTAATTTGTTGTTGTCGTCTTCCATTCATGCTCACTTTAGCTGCGAATGGGGCCAGAATTCCTCTAATGAACTTAAAGTCGGGCTTAAAGAAGAAGAGGTGACAGGTAGACCCACTTGGAAAAATTATTTTATCATGGAATTTTTGTTAAATGATTGATTTTCTTTAAGAATTTTTAAATACTTGTGAAAGGAGGTCAATTGCATACAAGAATGTGGTTATTTAATTTATTTAAAACCTATTTTCTGTGATAAAAACGGAATGTATGACAAATATATGATTTATTTTCAGTGTTTCGACTGTGTAGACTTGAATTTTGCCAAAAGCGGTTGAAGTCGACCGCGGCAGTAACGTTATTTTCTTCTTTACCTGATGGTTTTAGTTTTTCTTGTTTCTATCTTTCGCCTTCTCTTTTGCGTTTGTTGCCTTTGCCTTCTGATTCTTGCACACATATTGATTGTTTAATATTTTATGCCGAGTTTATTGACATTTTGTGCGCGAACCTAAGCAAGTCTTCTTCTCGGGTTCAGAAATAGTTTCGGCATGCTTCAGAGCGGACCGTTTCCCCTTTCCCTCCTCCCAACACTTGAATCCGGTTCTTTCGGGCTTAGCATTTTTTGTTTAACAATCTATCATCTGGTTTTATGTGGTTTGGCTGCATGTTGTATGCTTCCATAGGAAGAAAAAAGCAGTAAACGTAGTAAATAAATTCTATCGTAAAATTTTTTAATATACTTTTACAAAAATTATTTATGCTGACCTAATAAACCAGTTTGATTGAAAGCTTTGGTTTAAAATTATAAATCAAATATAAAAATGATTATAATCACACCGATTAATCAAGTTTATGGATTGGGTCAAAAAATTTCTGAAATACCCTCTAAACTTGTCGTTTTTGGAACGAAATGTTTATCAGTCGATGGTTATTTATGGGTCTAAATTTTCTGTCTGTTATCACAGTTGTTGCACTTACGCGTTTCTGACTGTTCTAGTTTGGCTATAAAAAAAGCCGGGCAAATACATGGTCGTCGCAAAGTCTCTCGTTATTTACCTGTTTTTCGCTATCGTCCAATTCTCTTTTTTTCAGCACTCTTTTATTATAGTCGTGAAATTGTTTTCTTTCGCCATTGCCTTTCGCATCGTATTTATTTGTATTTCCACATACATTCGTTCGTTCATTCGCTTGTCGGTTGCGCATTTTAATTTGTTGTTGCGCCCGACTGGAAAAAATGGGAGACAGATCAAAAGTTTAATGTGCCAAATGCATAAAATATTGAGAAAGCAGGTCAAACTAGCTATAAATAATCCCCAATAAAAATCACACACACACAGTAGATTTAACCTTATCTATTCTTTGTTTGTTCTTTTGCAGATGTGAAGAATCCTTAGGTGCTAATTTAGTTGATAAGCGCAAAAAACAAGAGAGAGAGAGAGAGCGATAAACAGGCAGTACAATAAGTAAACCGACACGAGAGCTGGAAATTCCGACTGGGTGGCAACTTTTCGAAGGCAGTGCTTAAAAGTATGCTACAATTTAATGCCAGCGATTGCCGACTGAGGCGAACTTAACAGAATCAGCCACATATATATATAGAATATATATAGACAACCAGGAGAGAGAGGAGAGAGAGAGAGAGCGAGGAAGAGGAGAGTGCGAGGCGGAGAATCGCCAAAGAATCACGAAGAACCGGCAGCGAAATGTCCAAGTTCTTTGTGAATGTTGCTCCTATCAACAACAACACAGCAGCAGCGGCAGCAACAACTCCACCAACAGCACCCAGCGACACCAGCAACAGCACTATGGCGCGGGCGGGGCAACTGGCCACACGATGGTGGCCCGCAGACTTAACTACGATCAGCTCGGCGGCGGCGGCACCACCAACATCAACAACAACAACAATATTGTGATCAAGAACGAGGCCCTCGATCTGGACTACGATCACGGTCTGAGCAGCAGCGACAGCAACAGCAACAGCAACAGCGGCGTAGCAGCCCATCTGCGGGATCATGTCTATATCAGTCTGGACAAGGGGCACGTCACGGGGACGGGGGCAGTGGCAACAGCAACAGCGGGCCACTTGCAGCCGCAACAGCAGCAGCAGCACCACCAAAATCAGCAGCACCGCAAAACGGCCGGCAAATCCAACGATATCACAAATTATTACAAGGTGAGTTGGGGATAAGTTGTAGGTCATGATCTTAATATATTTTTATTGCTTTATAATTCAATTCATTTATTGATTTTAATAAAATTATTTAATGATTTTACTAAGTTTATTTATTGATTTTACTGAATTTATTTATTTATTTTAATAAATGAATTTAATTATGAAGCAATAAAAATGTATTAAGATTTGAAAATTATGTAATATAATTATGAAACCGATAGCTTTGTTCTAGTGGTCTGAAGAATTCGCGTTTTAAGTTTGTTTAACAACTAGATGTTGCTTAAAATCATATACTTTTTTTTTGATTGCCCTGCCAAAATAACAGACTAACATCAGTGAATTACCACATTGAATTCTGTTACTAATTATATTAAATATATTTAAATCTCTCCCCCGCAGGTCAAACGCCGGCCACACGCCGTCACCGACGAGATCCACCCGAAGAAGCAGGCAAAGCAGAGCGCCCACCACCAAACGGTGGGGTACCAGAAGCATGTGGCCAGCAGCACGCCCCAACAGCTGCGACACAGCCACCTTCAGCAGCTTCAACATGCCGCGGATGCCGAGCTGGACGAGGATGTGGTGGAGCGAGTGGCCAAGCCGGCTTCGCATCACCCATTCGCTCTGTCGACGCCCCAGCAACAGTTGGCCGCTTCGGTGGCCAGCAGTTCGGCGAGCGGGGATCGCAATCGGGCGGACACCTCGCTGGGAATACTGACCAAAAAGTTTGTGGACCTGCTGCAGGAGTCACCGGATGGCGTTGTGGATCTGAACGAGGCCTCCAATCGGTTGCACGTGCAAAAGCGACGCATCTACGACATCACCAATGTCCTCGAAGGCATCAACATCCTGGAGAAGAAGTCCAAGAACAACATCCAGTGGCGCTGCGGGCAATCAATGGTCAGTCAGGAGCGATCGCGGCGCATCGAGGCGGAATCGGTGCGGCTGGAGCAGTTCGAGAACGAGCTGAACATGGCCATCGACCAGATGCGCGGCAATCTGGCCGAGATCTCGCAGGAGGTGGAGAACTCCGGCGGCATGGCCTACGTTACGCAGAACGACCTGCTCAACGTGGATCTCTTCAAAGATCAGATCGTCATCGTTATCAAGGCGCCGCCAGAGGCCAAGCTTGTGGTGAGTACTAGATTTTGGGCAGCTAGAGGTGTGAGAGTCCTAAGAAATTACGTAGAAATCTCATGGGTTAATTGGTTACTTTGGTTAGTTGTTAACTGAAAGATTTCTTTATGAAACCTGGCATATTAATAATTTAATAGAATAATATCGATTAAGGATTTATTTATGACTTCAAATTTCTAAACTTTTACAATCTTTATTATCACTGTGAACTAGTTTTATTTTATTAACAACAGCGATAGTAATACCTTTTGACTCATTCTCCCCATCGGAAATAGTCGATATCCCCATCTTTTATTTCTGTACCAACGGCTCGTATCTCTGTGGCTATATAGTGTAGTTCCTATATATGTTTGACTACGTCAGAGCTTTTCCTAGCTTTTCCCCGCTTTTTTCTAGTCAGCGCTGCTTCTTCTTAGCGTCTGCATGCCATTAAACGTGGGGCTTATTTATAGAAGGCCATCGCAGCGGCAGACACGACAGGCGAAATGGAGTCCCCCCTGACCGACCACCTTCCGTTTGATATCAAGTAAATTTCTGGCCTCGTCCAACGAAGTTTTCCAATCGTCGCCGCTGTTGCTGCTCGGTCCCCCTAGATGCCGCACTATTTATAAAGATATATCTCAACGCTTAATGTTTCCGCTCGCCTTGAACTGTTGAATGAACTCGCAAATTATTATTGGGGAAAAAGGGAAAACTTGTGCCCAAGAGATATTATAGATCGTGATTTGAAGAATAAATGATGGATGTATCTTTTTCAAGCCCTCTGGCAACGCCAATAACCGATTTGCCGAAATAACAACAACGCAAAAGAGGGGCTATAAAAAATAAAATAAAATAAAATAAAATAAAAGGGGAACGAGAAATATCATTTCTAAAAATACGCGAGCGGCAGAAAATGCTGCTCATTCTCAGGCTCGCTTCATTTGTGTTTCTCTTTTGCTGCCGAGCGGTCGGCGACCGCTTAAAAATTTCAACCGCTCCCCCTTTAACTTAAAAGTTAGTTTCCCGTTGGCCATTTATCTGTATTTAATTATTGTACATACCTACATTTGAAATTTGGTTAATAACCGGGTTTTTGTTTTTTTTACTATCCAGCTGCCCAACACAAAATTGCCGCGCGAGATTTACGTGAAGGCGGAGAACAGCGGGGAGATCAACGTCTTCCTCTGCCATGACACCTCGCCGGAGAATTCGCCGATTGCGGCGGGCGCCGGCTATGTGGGAGCACCAGGAGCCGGATGCGTTCGAACGGCCACCTCCACCCGACTGCATCCGCTGACCAACCAGCGGCTGAACGATCCGCTCTTCAACAATATCGATGCCCTGAGCACCAAGGGATTGGGTGAGTTATAGGGAAGAATTCTAACAAATATGATAGTTTTCTTTTCAAATATTTTTCTGTTAATTTATTGTACATTTTTAAAATATTTATTAATTTCCCCCTTTCTAATTGCAGTTCCCACGCCCTACCGCTCGGCCCGTAACCTCAGCAAATCGATCGAGGAAGCCGCCAAGCAGTCCCAGCCTGAATATAATAACATTTGTGATATTGCGATGGCCCAGCATCATAATCTGAACCAGCAGCAGCAGCAGCAGCAACTGCCGGAGGAGGACGATGTGGACACGGAGCTGAGTCAGCTGGTACCGACACTGACGAATCCGGTGGTCCGCAGCCATCAGTTCCATCAGCAGCAGCAGCACCAGCAGACCTCCATCCAGGAGCTGTTTAGCAGCTTAACAGAATCCTCGCCCCCAACGCCCACCAAGCGTCGTCGGGCGGCAGCAGCCGCAGCAATTGCCGCAGGCAGCGCAACAGCAGCAACCACTACGCTTAATAGTCATAACAACAACAGCAACCACAGCAATCATAGCAACCACAGCAACTCCCAACCACCCACAATAGGCTACGGCAGCAGTCAGCGACGCAGCGATGTGCCCATGTATAATTGTGCAATGGAAGACGCAACTGTAACAACAGCAGCTGCATCTGCATCTGCAGCAGCAACTGCAACATCGCGCACGGCAGCAGCAACACAATCGTCGGCGATAAGCTCGCTGCAAATGCAATTCGCTGCCGTGGCGGACAGCAGCAACAACAGCAGCAACAGCAACGATGACGGCGGCTATGGCAGCATTGCTGGCGCTGGCGCCAACGCTGATCCCCATCAGCCGTTCAGCCATGGCCGCCACAGCCTGCCGCCCAGCGCGGCCGACTGCGATGCCAATAGCAACAGCAGCAACGTGACGCTTCAGGGCCTCGATGCGCTCTTCAACGACATTGGCTCGGACTGTAAGTATTATATATAGTGGATGTCCTGCAACATCTATTATTTTTACCACCGTTGTTAATAATCTAAATCTGATCATGCCTGCAATCGCCCGCCGTTCATTCATACATGATCATTTTGCATCCGCCTGTGTTTTTCAATGTCGTCACTATGTAAATAACCGCAGCTAACACCTAATTGGGTATCTAGCAGGGAACTTTATCTAGATCGAAATGAGGCGCACTTGTCAAGAACTTTTTCTGTGACCTGCGTGTATTCAAAAGCCGCATCACAGTCTGAGTTCTTGCTGAGCGTGATGTCCTCTCAGCAACATAAATCGAAATCAAAAACGAAATCAAGGAAATCGCAGCAAAAACTAAAACGTATTCCAAATTTTCCAACACATTTTATTTTGTTATTGCAACATTTCGGCCAACGAGAATCAGTTCAAAATTGACAATTTGATTTTATTTTCATTTTTGTTTAATCAAATTAAGTGTTTTATCAGGGGTGTCACGGAAATTTGTTCCGAGCAAATCCAAAAAAATTAAAATAAAAGAAATTTCCTTGGCACACCTCTATATAATCAAATCAAAATAAAACAGTAACCTACTAAAAATCTAACATGTGTCTCACCCAAATCAGTCACTCTTTTATTGTGCTCACATCATCACGCTAACCATCTACTAATTATGTATATTAAAAATGTAATAATAATTGTGCATAAATGTATATATATATCGACATTTAACCCGCCGCCTCGTCAGCAATCGTCCTCGTGTCAAATTCATTTTGGAACTGAATTCTCGTGGGTCTGCACTGACAACACTGACCGCTCCAGGGCCAATTGTTCATTTTGAAATTGAAATTCTGTAGCACCATGAGATTCAGCTCTGGCGTGAATTTCAAACATGCATCCACAACATCTCTCGCTCTGTCAGCTCTCTCTCCTCCTAAATGTTTGTCCACGGCAATCGAAATCGACAATAATCAACAGTCATGCCCAAAACTCTGCGAAATACCGAAATTACCTATATCGATATCGAGTAACATGTTGCATTTTTATTTACAGACTTCAGCAACGATATTGCCTTTGTGTCCATCAATCCGCCGGACGACAACGACTATCCGTATGCGCTGAACGCGAACGAGGGCATCGATCGGCTGTTCGACTTCGGATCGGACGCCTATGGACCCTAGACGTCCACGGAACACACTCACACGCATATATCTACAAAATTGGGATTCTGGGGGTGTTTATAATTTTAAATTATATACAAATGGCAAAAGAAAAAAAAACAAAACAAAAACTAAATCCAGCAAATTACAAATTATTAAATTATTTGATTGCAAAAACCACAAACAAACAAAAAATCCAAAAACAAAACACAAAAAAAGCGAATCAGCAAAACTTAATGAAACTAAGTTGTGTGTAAAGTTTTAAGCGTAAAATATATACATTTAAATTTATAACCCAAACTAATTTAAGCGAAAACACAAAATCTACTTTACAAAAACTCAGCCTCACGAGAGAAACGGAAAAAAAGGAGAAGTTGTAGCAAGAAGAGCCACATTTTATAAGCAGATTTCAATTTTAGCCTTAAAGCAAAACCAAGGAGAAGCGAAAGGAGGATCAGGAATACTATGTAAATGGGTAGCACACACAAAAAAAGCTAATACTTCCCCTTGTCAAACAACCTGTTTGGGCTAGAACTGTCTGTAAATTAGTAAAAATAATACCAACACACACATAATTTTTAATTAGAAAACAAAATAGTTGTAAAGCCAATCAACATAATATTAAACAACAATAAAAAGAAAATCAATTTCAAATTGTAAAAAAGATCGAAGACATTTCAAATTCAAACAGAGCAGAAAGAGAGGACACAGCACCTGGGCCCCCACCCCCTACTTTCCCTTAAATACCCCCGCTCCCCTCCCGTTTTAGTTAAGCATGCAACAAAAACGTCCTCCGCCATCTGTTTCATTTGCTTGGATTTATCAATTGATTTTTAATTACTATTATATTAAAGCTAAAACTATGTATAATAATTTGTTATTGTTATAAATTTAAACTATAAACACACACACATGGGCCCAATAGCAGTTTATTCATAGAAGCCAAATCATCCCACAAAACAAACAAACAACCAACCACAAGTACATAAATAATTATTTAAACTCTCGCCTAGAAGTTATATATTTAACTAAAATACCAATGGAACAAACGAATGCAAATCATACAACTGTAAAATTCAAACAAATAAAGAAGGAGATCCACAAAAAGCGAAACCTCTGTATAATTGTATGTTTAATTTTTATAAGAGAAAACACTTTGTTAGGTACTTTTCTTTCTTTCCAAAAACAAACACGAAAAAAAGAGAAAATAAATATTAGAAAACGAGAAAAACTTTAAATAAACAAAAAAAGTTTTAAAGCCAAATATCTTGGAATTTTAATGTTATAGCCTGTTAACATTGGGGGGGTTTTCGTTTAACGGCAAGAACTCAGTACTGCTCCTGGATCGTAATCCAAAACCACGTATTTGAATTTTCGCGGATATTTTTTAAATATTTTGTTGAATCAGTCCGATCTGCTGTCGATTTACCAGATCAATTCCACTTCTATATATCAGAATCGGAGACAGAATACGATCTTAAGCGAATTTTAGGAGGGTGTCTTGGGTAACATAGCCCCGATGCCCTCCTATCTCTTTTCGAATGCAACATTTGAGAGCGCCATTGCGGCCGAAAGGGGAACCAGTGAGCGCAGACAATATCACGATATATATTCACATATCTCCTCTCAATTCAACAGAAATGTTAAGATACATTAATTAGATTGAGTATTGCCAGTTCCCCTTTCGGCCGCATTGGCGCTTTCAAATGTTAGATTCTTACAGTAATGTTAAGGTACATGCCAATGTAAAAAAAGTTGTATCTTAACATTTCTGTTAGAATCTAACATTTGAAAGCGCCAATGCGGCCGAAGAGGGAACTGACAATACTCGATATAAATAATCACAAAAAATATCGGTTTAAAATTCCCTCCTCTAAATTTAACAGAAATGTTAAGATACATTATTTATATCGAGTATTGTCAGTTCCGTCTTCGGCCACATTGACGCTTACAAATGTTAGATTCATCTTAACTTTCTGTTAGAATGTTAAAATACATGCCAATGTAAGAAAACGTTGCATCTTAACATTTCTGTTAAAATTAACATTTCAAAGCGCCCCTGCGGCCGAACGGGGAACTGAAACCATCGATAAAGTATTCCCAAAATCATCGAGGTTTTCCCATCCCACGTACAACAACGCAAAACAACAAACAAAAAACAAAATTTCGGCGAGCAACACGGACGGCGGAGCGCATGAAATCGGCGGAAATTGCGGTCGCGGGAAATTGTGTCTGCGGAAAATCGTCGCTGCGAACAAGGCCACAGTGGATTGTCGATATAGAGCCGTGCGAAGCGGAAAATTTGGTGAATGAAAAGTGAAAAGTGCGGAAATGCCATGAGGTACATGGAGCTGGAATAGGTGAATAGATAATTCCACGAAATACAAGTGCGGGCGATTTGCGAGTGCGGAGTGTCGGGTGTGTGTGTGAAATTCACGGCGAATAAATAAATAAAATTTGTGTACACACACACACGCCTAGTATCTGTATATACACAGCATGTTGTGAAGTTGCGGCGCAAAAGGAAAGCACGCGAATAAAACATAAGAAAATTTAATTACGCCTGCGTCTGGGAAAGTGCGTCGTTCTATTTTGAAATCGATACCAAAATAAAGTACAACAAAATAGGTGACACAACAACAATGCCTGACAACGTTGCAAAGGGGTATGTAGCAACAACAACAAATAACAATAATAAATGGAAAATAGAAAATAGTAGTGGAAACGTAACTAGAAAATACTCGACGAAATTACTACGCAGCAGCAATTTATGCCAAGTTGTTTTTGCTCTCCCTCCCCCTCTCTCTCCCTCCACCGGTCCCGTTCCCGGTTTCTCTTGTTTCTTTTGTTGTTGTTCCATATCTATCATATCGTCCGTTTTGTGAATGAGCAGCGCAGCCAGCATTATGCTCCGTCTCTTTCGGCCCGGTCGCACCCGGTTGCCCTCTCCTGCTCTCTCTCTCTCTCTCTGCGCGCGGAGAGCGGCTGCGCGAAGAGAGGCGGAAAAGGAATGAAAGAATTTCGATTGCTGCCGGTTTTTATTGTTGTTGTGCTGTTTTTTTTTTTTTATTGTTGCACGCATTTTCAAAAGCGGTACAGATAAGTTACCAATTAAATAAATCCAGCATTAAGTGTCATTGACACGTTGTAATGTGATTTGGCGTTTAATGTCAGTATCCGTGCTTAATTAAATACTTAAGAAATGTCTTGCAAAATGTATAGTTTTATTTACCGAGGAATAGAAATAGCTTATTTCTTTCTTAAATGTAAGTCTGATTTTAAAATAAATAATTTGAAATTGCATCATATAAATCCTCATTTTACTGTTGTTTTTTAAATTTTATATTAATTTTTTAAATTTTATGTTTCTTAATTTTCTAAATAATTTCATAAAAAAAAATACTTGAATATTTAATATTTAATACAAATTGTTAAAGCTCTTATTTGTAAATCAACAACTCTTAGATCCCTCAAGGCGTCTTAAAAGCGACCGCTTTAATATGTTTTTTCCCACATTTTACAACCATTTGCAATTAAAAACCATACTTGGTATTTAACTCTTTTTCATCAATAAATTTTGTGCTTACTCACCTGTTGATTTGTCAAGGTTTTGTTTAAACTTTTTTTTATATTATTATCTTTTTTTGTTGTAGAAAAATGTAGTTTTCAGTAATTTTAATGTGTTTAATTAACAACAAAGTCGAGTACCACATAATTTCATTGGTTGTCAAAATGACATGACAGTGCAATTTTGACAGTTTTCATTAATTTGGTGCTTTTAATTAGTGTTACCAAATATTTTACTTTTGGAAATGTATACTCAAATAATATTTGCCTTACTTGATCGAAATAATTGGTGTTTTCCCCAACTAAACCAGTTAGAAATATGATCGTCAAATTTATATAAAATATCAGATTAAAATTGCGACTGCCGACCTACTTTTTAGATTTATTTGTTTTAAGAAATCCATTCAGCTTAGTCCACTTTGTTATGAACTCTGTTGCAAATTAAGCTGCTTTCTTATTTACAAAATTTTAACTTTTATATAAATTTTCAATGAAAGTTCCCTAACTAAAAGAAAGTCAATTCATAGTTTACATGAGCTTTTCCATTTTTCCTCCAGTAAAATAAATTAAAATACAAGTTTATACTTAAGGAACTGGACTTAAAGTTAAAGCCAGATAGCTCCGTCGGCAACGGGAATAGAACAATAGATCTGAGGGTCTGTAATTGTACTGAAATGAAACCGTGCGTAGTGCAAAATAGGAAAAACATTACACAAATAGCTGGCGATGGCGGAGATATTACGGGTAGTTGGCGTTGGCTTTGGGGGAGGAAAAGTGGGAAATGGGGAAATGTGGGGTTGGGGATGGGGATGGGCCCGCCTGCTAATTAAAAAGCATAAGCACTAATTGGCGTGCCGCTGCGCTTGTTGTTGCTATTTGCCGTTGGACTGCCCACTTGCTGTGCTCTTATTATATTCGCGTTATTATTGTATAATAAGAGAGAAATGCCATAAAAAATTGGGAGGTGGGGTTAAAACAACGGGCAAAACCGAAGCAACAAAAAAGCGGCCAAGAATTGCGCATTTTTGTATTAATCATGCTATATTTTTGACGAGGCCCGAGGAATGTTGGCCAATGTATTTGTATTTGTGCGTAATTTATTTATTTTTAAATCGAGTTTGCCTGCCTGCTTTTCCCATGCGTGTGTGCGAGCATAAGTGCGAATGTGTGTGTGTGTGTGTTTGCGACAAAAATAAGTCGCCGCAAAAACAAATTGCTGAAATAGAACCAAAATAAAGCAGAAAAACAGAAGCGAGATCTGTCGAGGATGAGGCAATGACGGAACCCGGGTTATTTTATTTTCGTGCATGTTATTTTTGATATTGGCTTTTTTATGGTGTGGCAAAAAACCGGAAATTGTTTGTCCGGCTATTGTTGATGACGTATGACCGACCATCCAGTTGTTGGCAATTCTGGCGCATAATTTGGCCACACTAATTAAGAGCGGCGAAGGGAAAAACAAAAACACAGCACACCGACACCAACACAATTACCACTACTAAAAACAATAACAAAAAAAAACCGAAAAAGTTTTGACCACATGTCTAAACGTAGCTGCGCACAGGCCAGAGAGAGAGGGAACGATTGCCGAAAGAGAG